ATCCACTTGTGAGAATCCACAGGCTAACATCAAGATGGACATATAGAAAGCGCTCAAAAAATGTGTCAATAAAGCATAAATGACTGGCTTTGTTTAATATGAAATGTTTATTTTTCCACTACTTTTTCTTGTGCTGATCCTAGGGCTTGAACTCTGGGCCTGGGAGCTGTCCCTGAGCTTTGTGCTCAAGGTACTCTATTACTTGAGCTACAGCTCTATTTCTGGCTTTTTGGAGATTAATTGGAGACAAAAGTCTTATGGACTTTCCTTCCCAGGTTTCCTTCAAACCATAATTCTCAGATCTGAGTCTTTTGAGTAGCTAGTATTATAGGCCTCTGGTGCTCAGTTTTCCACTAATTTTTAGAAAAGTAAAAAAAAAAGGCATCTTTGAATATACAAAAGAATTCTATGGAATTTTAATCCTCATTTCTCTATACCTTATATTGTAATACTATCAGATCATTTCATTTATAAATTGTATTTCTAATTTTCAGTAACTGCCAATAACATCTATTATATTTTCCAAAACTGTTCTAGGAGGCTAAGTTTTATTTAATTAGTTATTCTTGAAGTATTTAGATTAGCTCATTTTCAAATAACATGGAACTAGAAGAAATTCATATTTACTGTAACTTATGGTTTCCATTCTCAGATAGAGGCAGTATGTCAAGATAATTTCTGTACTCAAATTGTTCAGTTCTGCTTCATGGTCCCTGCACACAAATTGTTCACAAGGTGACACCATGATCACAAACCTAAAAGTCAAAATGCATTTATACATCCTGGAGAGGTTATTTTTGCTGTGAAATGTTTAAACCAAGATTTTTCTTTTAATATCCTGTGATGAATGTAATTAATATAGAACAATATAGTTAAAACATATTACTTATTTCAAATACCAAATACATTATTATATTTTTATTTCTTTTTTTATTGTGAAAATACTGTACAGAGGGGTTACAATTACATGGGCAAGATAATGAGTACATTTCTTATCAAGCATTGTAGCCTCCTCCTTTGTTTCCCCTTCCCATCCCTTCCAATCTCTCTCCACCCCCCCAACCAACCTCCTCCCCCTCCCCCACCAAAGTTGTAAATTTTGTTTTTGACTTGTAAGTCTCACTGTTGCAATGGGTCCACCTGTATCCCTATTTAAATGATTTTTTCCCCTTCCCCTCCACAAATTATACCGACATCAAATACAGTGAAATCAGGGGTTATACTGTGGGGGAGGGACATACAAAGCAACAAAGAAATAATCTTATAAATGTGTTAGAAACAATCGCATGAAAGAAAAAACATTTGAATACATATCTTAGGGTTCATTTCCTTAACATCAACTTATCTGGCCTTTTCTGCTTGACTCAGACATATACTAGTTATTGCAAATAAAGGAAACCATGGGACCTATGTTATTTCTTTTTTGATGCTAGAATTTCTATTACAATTTATTTCTTCATGACAAGTCACTACACAGAACATAGGAAAAACATCTTAGCAGCTCATGACTATCCTAAAAATGATAGAAAACTTCAGATAGAAAATATACAAGCTAACTGAGGCCATGGAAAGAGATATATTTGTATTTCCACCCAAAGAAATAACTACATATGAGAACACTTCAAATATGAATAGTGAAGTAAATATTTATGATAGATAGAAGAAAAAATTCTACATGCATTTTTAATCGATGGAAGAGTAATCTGAAGTAGTTAAAAGTACTACTTGAAAATTCAGAGCTATGACAGCAAGTATACAAGATAAATACAAAATTTTACTTTTCATGTACTTTCATTAGTAATAAGCAGAACATCATTAGTATCCGTAACGTTTATTTTCAGGTGCTGGCAAAAGACAACATGGCTGCTCTAGAAAATGTATCAATGTCTTCTACCCATAGCAAGAAAGGAGGGAGACACACTAATTTCTTTCACAGAACAAAAGAATTTCTAAGAGTCCCATAAACGTGATGCTTTACTTTTCTGTTTTAATTTATTGTCTATGATTGTAGGCAGTTGTTTTCTTTCCACGATGACATCCCCAACACATGAGAAGTATAGGTGTGCACTAAAAGCTCTTTAAGATTTCTCTCCTATTGTAATGCATTTGATTGTTGTAACTTAGTATTGCTCTCTTTAAATTAATAACCAATTATTCACCTATCAATCATAACGGCCTACTACCTCTTGAGCCTACATAATTGCAACAAACAAAGTCAAAGCAAATGACTAAATAAAATTTTTAAAAAAGCAAATAACTATATTAACAATAGGAAATAATAAAATACAATAATATGAAGAATGAGGCAATCATTTTCTTAGTCTACTTGAGTATGGAGAATGCCTGCTGTTATGATTGCCTGTAGGCAGCAAGTTGAAATAAACTGAGTAGATTCTAGATAAAACTACTAAAACTTCTGAAGTTGTATAGGAAATAAATAAAGATTGAAAGTTTCAATTTCTACAGAAAACCATTCTAAATAACTCTAGCTACTTCTAAATATATTGTTAATGTCAAGAAAAGCACATTACCTTCTTCCTAGAAGATATGACCAAGAATTATCTAGAAAGCCTGGATATCATTAATCTATATATAGTCGGTAAATATGCTTAAAATTTCTTCTGAAAATTCTTATACAAATACGATTTTCAATATTAAGTTTAATATAAAACCTAGGTTTTATGTTTTAGAATTAGAAAAACATTAAAATCATTAACAAATTATTTAGATAATCATTGATTCTTGGAAAATGCAGTAAGAAATCTCTGAACATTCAAAAATCGTCAATTAGGATTTAAGTAATGATTATGGGAATTTTGGTAAAGTTGTTTTCTCCTCTACCTTCTAAAAACTAAAAGTGAGTTTTCTTAGTTATAGAAAATATAAAAGCACATTTTGAATATATACATATATATGTGTATCTCCAGAAAACAAAGATACATTGATGGAAGATGTGTCAAGTGGTTTCATTCTTGAAAAGATAATTCAGCTAATTTTGGTAAAACAAAACAATACTAATCTACAGAGTGAAAATCAGTAGCTTAGACCAATTCATGTCAAAAGCCAGCATCAGCATGCACAAATATTTTTCTATTCATTATTAAAAAAATGCTAAACTTCAAAGTAGTTTGTGCTTTTGTAGCAAATTACTGATTTCAATTATAATTAACAAATAGATTTCATTTCAAAACAGGATTTAAACCAAATGGCATTAAGTACTATTATATTCATAGTTTAATGTTTCAAAGCAGTACTATTAAGTGCAAAACAGAAAGTGGCACATTGTTGGAGCTGCACTATAACTCATAAACTCTCAAAGTTTTTGCCACAACCAGTGTCCTGGCTGTCAACACTAGACTCCCTTTCCAAACAAGCAAACAAAGGAAACAATTCAGTTAAAATAATATGAATATGGAGCAGTACCATATCACCTTTAATATAATAACAAAACCATGGAAACCCATCTCAAACTATTTCCCACATAACCAACAACTAATAACAAAATAGCACTTTTTAAAATGCACATCATTTCAAAATCACTAGTCTAGCCAGTAAAAATCTAACTGAACTAAAATTCTAAGATGGCCTTGGCCAACAGTATGAACCAATAATACACAGAATATATATACAGAATGATGGAAAAGAAACAGAACTATATAGAGGTAACTTATTTTCACTGTCAAGTTACTACCAGATTTCATGATAATACACCCTTTTATTACAAGTACCCAAAACATTTCCAGCATGTCTACTAACTATCTTACTTCAGGACAACTTACTGTTAAGATTAATTGATGTTTTGTGTAATAACTATTCAGAGACAAAGGTCTTAAAGGGCTGTTTAATGAAAAATTTTCAGTATAACTATACAAAGTAGAAAAGTCTCTTAAAGTTTACTCTTGCTTACTATTACACTTATCCAATCTCAGCTCTATTATCGTTCTTTTAGCCAGAGTAGAGTATTGTCACTACTTAAGTGACAATAAATTGGCCCCTTATAACATGTAAAAGAGGTAATTTTGAGACTGCCAGCATTTACTTTTAGACAAAACTAGGGGGAATAAAGCTTTTCAAATATCACTTTAATTATATATTTTGTGTAGTAATAAAATAAATGATGTTAGTATTTCTACTATTAATATAATGCTAACAATTACTTTTGAGTGGGACGCCACATTGATTAGAGGATTATTTCAATCTAAAGGCACTTTGGAAAGATGGCAGGTGCGAGGAGGTCATGCTCATCTCCCCTTTTTGTTCGTAAACATAGGCAACAAAGCTCTCCCATGGCAGTTATACTCCTAGTAGAAGACAAGGAAAATTTTTGATGATGTCACTACTGAGAGAATGCAGTAGGCCGAAACTGTGTCAAGATAGGTCTTATCTTTGTGAAACCTCTTCTTATAATTTGGTCACTTGCCTTTGTTAAACCTAGTTGCCACTTATGTGGGTCTTCATTTCCCTATGAGGACTCTCATGTCACATAAAGCTTATATTAAATGTTTCTAATTCTTTCTTGCTAATCTGTCATTGTTGATCTAGTTTTTCAGGTTGAGCGGGGATCCAAAGAGAGAATTCATTTCCTACCCAATACTGACCAATAGGATTTCTATCACTATCCAATTTTTTATACAATTTAGAAAATTGTGATTTGTTAGAAAATTGTGGTTTGTATGTCTTTAACTGCAAACTGCTACCAATTATTTCTGTGATATAAAGAAGGTCGTTCTTACTAGACCCAGTCAACCAGCACAGAACGTGTTTCAGTCCTTTGAAGTCTTTAAGGTTTTTATTTTCTCATAAGCTATAAGCAAACACACATGTACCTCAATAGGTTCAAAACACCTATGATATTTAGAAAGACATTTCAAAACATATACTGTTATATTACAAAACCTCCAACCTGTCTTGGCTAAATTTCCCAAGCAACCCCTCTGATTTACACTTGGTGCCATCTTTGAAATCCATTTATATCAGCAAGAAGACATAAGATGACTTACCGGACCAAAAGAATTACTGTCAAAACTGTGTCCATGATGATCACCTTCAACCCAAATGTGACCACGAGGGACTTTGACATACCGGTTTTTATGTCCTATGGTTCTGGAAATAAACAGAATAACTGCTGAGATAAGAACAGAAAGGAAACCTCCAACAGCTAAACAGACAAACTCAGAAAGGGCAGAAACGTTAGGAAGATACAACAGATAGGTTTACCTTGAAGCCACACCATACCTTCCTTTTTAAGTAAAATGTAGTTAGGTCCTGGTAAAGTCTATCTACAGTTTCTCTTTCCTTTCATATTTCTGTAAGTAGAAATTCTGCACTTAAATAAAAAACACTAATACCAAATATAATGTTTTGCTATTTCATTTAATAAATCAGATCTAAATATATACTTATGAAATGTTATGTGCCTCACAAAAAATAGTTGCATTTTGCAATCTTTATTAAATCTTGTAAATATTTATTTATTTTATGTGGCAGTACTTGGGTTTTGAAATCAAGGTCTCATACTTGCTAAATAGGCACTCTATTGCTGAGCCACATAACTCCAATGCTTTTTGGCACTAGTTATTTTTTGGTTATTTAACAAGGAGTGTATGTATACCATGATTCTCCTGTTTTATGCTTCCCATTGTGGATGGGATGGCAAATGTATGCCACCAGACCAAGCTTTCTTTAGGATGGAATCTTTTGAACTCCTCTGCCCAGGCTAGTCTGGAATCATGATCCTCCTAATATCAGCTTCTCATGTAGCTGAGTGATAGAAGCTACCACATCTAGCTCTAACATTTTGCTCTTTATGTTGCTATTCAGCTTTTCCAATTTGTTTGTAGATAACTTAAGATTTCATCTTTTCAGTAAAATAAACTTCTAAAATCAATGGCTCTTTTTATAACCTCTTTAAGACTTTAAAATTTAGTATTTATATGAAAGAACATTATCTGGATGATGTCTTGTTAAAGATAAACTAACATTATCAGTTAAATGCTTTGATCATCACTGATTATTCTTAAAATGAGAAACATTTTAAACCTCTTAAAGATTAAAAACCAACAAGAGATGATATTTATAGAATTCCTACATTCTTAATACTGGCAAGGAAATGGACATAACTTTTTTCAAACAGTGTCAGTGGCAATCTAAGAGGATACAATATTTTTGTATGCTTTTCCATTTGGGATCTACTTTGCTAAGGTTTTCAGACACACGCATTTTGCCCTTAGATCTATTTACTCTATGTGTAGAAACCCATTGCCTGAAAATAATCTGAAATTGGGACAAACGTTTATTATAAGTGATGGTCAATTCAGTTGTTTTATAGCCTTGTCTTTAAAAAATCAGTTTATCTAAATACTCAATAACAAAGAATTGGTTTATAGTATAGTACAACCAATCAAATGCTATCCCAATCCTACAATAAATTTCCCCTTCTCTTGTTTCCTCATACACATGAAAAATGTCTAGCACAAAGAAGCTTCAAAATAAATTCTTTTTCTGAATGGATAGATGATTGGATGGATAGATAGATGATGGATGGATGGATGGATGAGAGAAAGGACATGTCCCTCAGGGCTATAGAGTTCAGAATCTGAGATTGGCATTGTGTTCTTGATGTGGAATCCCTACAGGAACATTTTTCTTCTGTACAAGTTGTATATGTTCAGAATAATACATAAAAGAAGGAAAACTACACATTAATTGGTACTACAGAATTTGCAACCATTCCTTTTCTAGGTTGGTTTTTAATTTTCAAGATAATTTCAGTGTTGAATTGCTTTGCTTTAGATCAGTAAGTCACTCATTCAAGGAAGCAATGTTGTGGCCATTAGAACCCCACAGTAACTTAATGACTGCTGTTATTTTTAATTACTACTGGGAAGAAGGATTTCAGCTTTTCAGAGAGAAGCAAAAACAAGTTGAACACATCTAACCATCATCATATACTTGGCAATATAAGTGTTCTTCAATTAAAATCATGCCATTAGTCCTTGACAACAGTACTGCTTTTATCATGAGGATTGCTGCTAGGAACTAATATCCTTCATCAAGTGTTAATAATAAGACTTTACTTTCCTAATTGTTGGTAAAACAGATTCTTCTAATAACTCCAAACATTTGTGCTCACCTGATTAAACAAAGTATTTTTAATATATACTTTCCCCCCATTTTTTCTTCTAATAACTGCTTAAGAATCATGGAGCATTCACAAAAAAAAAAAAAAAAAGAATCATGGAGCTGGGCACCACTGGCTCATACTGCAATCCTAGCTACTCAGGTGGCTGAGATCTGAGGAACAAGGTTCAAAGCCAGCCCTGGCAGGAATGTCCCTGATGGGTCATGGGTATGCACGTATAGGAATAACATAGTGTGCATAGCATATAGCACTATTCCAGGTTTCAGACATTCATTGTGGGTCCTGGAATACATTCCAAATAGATCAATGTGAACTGTGGTGTCTATGGATATGTATAAATGCACATATAGTCACAGTGTTTGGGACTATCTAATGATATGAGAGACATAGGAATCCCTGAATGGAGCCATATTCTGACAGCTGTCACATGTACAACACTGATCAGCTAGTTATCAGGAAACCAGGTCTCTTGTTCCTAGAACTGTTCAACTTAATAAGAATTCCTTACTGTTAAGAAAGTTACTAACCAAGATCTCAGATCTCATGGCAACCTCAAATGCTTGGCAATTACTACCTTGAGACTACAGGAAAAAGGATTCTGAAGTCTTAGTGACACTTAGTGAGTCTTCTGAGACTTAGTGAGAACTACTGGTTGATGATTTATGTCTCTCTCATGTTCAGCAATTGGGAGTGGCAGTGTCTATAGTATATGGAACAATAATGATAATATACATACCACAAACTACATAAAACTTGCCTGGTTATTGAGAATATAAAAAAATTGAATCAAGAAATTCCTGGTTGTGAAAAACAAAAGAAATATGTAGTGAATCCAGCAATAAAGTGGAAAGTTTTAAGCCAGACATATTCTAGGAACTAGCAAAACCAGCTTGAGCTTTTATGTCATTTAAACCAAGGAATCAAGACACTTGTGATAGAAAACAACCACACTATCAAAGTGCCAGTGGCAGTTGTACATTTTCTAGCACTGACCATCACATCGAACAACCTGAAGTACACCTTTTATCTAGCAATCTTAAGTGCACCCATTACTTTCTTTATTGCATCCATTAACACTTGCTATACCTTTGTAGGTTTATGAGTATACTATCCACCCCTTCTAGAATATAACCAGTGGAATTGTGTCTTTCTTACTCACAAAAATACCACAGCAGCCTAGAAGACTATATTGTACAAAGTGATGAAGAATGATGATGAATGACAAATAACCAAAGAGTGAAGAATACTAGCAAAAGGGCAGAAAAATAAATTGTAAAGCCCACAAGTTGTAGAAAGAGACAAAACCAATCTTAATCTTGACACTATTACCCACAAGTAAGCCTGTAAATGCACTTCAGAGGCCAGTGTGATGGCCCCTGTCTATAACTGTAGCTACTTAGGAAGTAGAGAACAAGAGAGCATCCTAGTCAGCCCAAGAAAAGTCAGTGAGATCTCATCTAAAAAATAATCTAAAACCAAAGGAATGGGAAGTCTGGTTCAAGTGGTAGAATGGCCCTGAGTTCAATTCCCAGTCTTTAAATTTAAATTCCCCAGTCTTTAAAATGGGATTGATATGTACACTTTCAACCTTATGTAATTTTAAACATCTTCCTTTATAATACTAGGCACATAAGTATTATTAACTCAAAGAGTTATTCAGTGGACAAATGTATCATTCAATGAACATTAAGTAATGGCTGAATATAGGTCTGTTGCATAGTCAGAAGACAGTGAGAGGTAGTTATTATTGCCATTGTCTATGTTGGCCCATTATTTTCTTTCATTTTATAAATCAGAATGTGTTCAGGCTTCCCTATCTATTAGCATCAGTCTCTTCAAATTACTTGAACTATGCTTCAATAATTTCTTTTTCTCACAGTTGTGCTCTGACTGTAGACTATTTTTAATAATACAATGAATCTTTTTCTTTTATTCTTATTTCCTTCTGGGATACTAGTATGTGAAAACACAATATATCTGTTTGTGAATATTAAAATATGTAGAGGGTAGTACATAAGAGTACAATTTATTTGTGGTCTCATCTACATCTCTCATTCATAGCTGAGTGTTGACTCTAACATACAGTAATTTACACAGATATCAGACAGGTTTTTTTTTTTTTGGGTCCGGTTGTGGGGCCTGAACTCTGGGCCTGGGTGCTGTCCCTCAGCTCTTCAGCTCAAGGCTAGCGCTCTACCACTTGAGCCACAGCGCCACTTCCAGCTTTTTTCTTTTTGCTTATGTGGTGCTGAGGAATCGAACCCAGGGCCTCATGCATGCAAGTCAAGCACTCTACCACTGTGCCACCTTCCCAGCCCCTCAGACAGGCTTTAAAGAACTCTTTGGTAAATTCATGCCACATACATAGAATATATTCTGTCTCTCAGATTTCAATCTAAATTTTAAAAAAAATAAGCCAAAGTAGCTTTAAAATTATGATGTGAATATATTAGGATAGACCTTTCCAAGATTACAAAAGAAATATAATCCTCCTAATAGAATTTCTGTAGAGAAGAGATTTTAAATAGCTTTGCACTCCTAAATTCACATAAAAGAAAGACAAGATAATCCTTTAGGTGATTTAACAGTTAAGTAAGGTGTCAGCCCACAAGGTTGTAGGTATCAATAGCCTGAAAATAATTTTGTTTTTGACAGTCAAAAATGAGTTCTATATGGTATTCTAACTACCTGTCCAAGAAAAAAGAGAGAGAGAGACACTTTTAGTACTAGCTTTACCAAGACAAGTTACCTAGGTCTTATAAATGGAATGCAGAACGATTGCCTCCAATTTGATTTGACCTTGAAAACAATGTTTTATAAGTCTCTGAACCTTTTCAGTGTCATCACTTGACTACAAAAATTTTCTTCACAGTGTGGCTGACATCAGGAAAGCAACTCCATTCATAATAACCCCCCAAAAAATAAAATACCTAGGAATTAACCAAAGAAGTGAAGGACCTCT